TCTTTCTGAGATAGGGCCTTGCTATGTAGCCCAGGCAGCCACTAACTAGAAGCAATCCTCCTGCCTCAGCCTCTCAAGGGCTGGGATTACATGTGTGTGCCCTCATGCTTGGCTTTCCGGTTTTGGTTTTTTTTTTTTTAACACTAAGATAAATCAAAACATAGTGAAATGAGAACTGCACTTCCTCAGTCGCCCTGGCTACGCTTCAAGGGCTCAGCAGCGGGGCCGGGGAGATGGCTCAGTGGAATAAGCGCTTCTGAGTTCAATCCCCGGTTTTGCAAAAAAAAAACAAAAAGAAAAAAATGGGGCTCAGCAGCTGCTGGGGGTCGCCATGTTGGACAGCACCCAGGTGGAGGGACAGAGCCTGTGCAGCCGGGACCTGGCTGCAGTCCCCACAACCGCGATTCCACGTGCAACCACACGGCGGCAGTGTCTCCCTGGGATCGTGCACCTGTCCAACATTGCCTAGGCTGGCCTGGAATTTGGCATCCTCCTGCCTCAGCCTCTCAGACTGCTAGGATCACAGCTGTGTGCCTTCACGCTCCACCGAGCACCGGTTTCTTCCTGTGGCTGTCGCACAGCCTGATGCATGAGTGTCGAGAGCAGAGATGGACCCTGGCTCTGTGTTCAGAGTCGGTGCCCTGCTCCTCTCCCGGCACATGGGCACACTTGTCACTACCTCTGGCTCACACTGCCCAGTGTCCTCATTGATCCTGCGCCTGGGCCTGTGACCTCCATACCTTTTATTTCTGGTTGCAAACAAAAGGTGGTAAGGGGCAGAGTGAGTGGCACACACTGCAACCCCACTATGCCACTGGGGAGGCTGAGGCAGGAGGATCCGGCTCTGGGCAGAGGCCATGGCCTTGCAAAGGCCCTGGGGCATGATGGAGCCCGGCTCATTAACTGCACATTAATGATATCTTAATAAAGCTGTGAATGGGTTGAAGGAAGGGCTCTGGGGCAGAACTGCAGCTCGAAGATCAGGGGTATTTTCCCTCCATTCTCCAAACTGTCCTCTGTAGTCCTCAGGGTGCATCTTTCACCTGTCACCTGGCTCTTCCTGCACTCTAAAGAAAGTCACCTGCGCCTGGTGGCAGGGGGTTCCCACCAATGCTGTATGGACCCCTGCCCCAAGCTTCCACTGAGGGTCCCTGGCTCCCATGCCCACACAGGGCTGCTGTAGAGGGTGCTGTGTGACCATGTCCCGGCTCAGCCCAGCCTCTATAAGAGGCTCAGCACACCTCAGCTTAGTCACTTTGTTGAAGAAGACATGTATGGAGTGGCAGTGCACCCCAGCCATTGCAGCTACTGGGGAGGCTGAGGCAGGAGGACTGCATGCTGAAGCTCTGTCTGGGAGACTGGGCGACTAGTGAGACCCTGCAGCTTGGGGCCCTGGAGGTGGAAACATCAGTGAGTGTCTTGGAACCCTCGCGCACACTCAGTGTCTCCCGTGAGTTGGGAATGGGGCAGGAGCCCAGAAAGCCTCCCGTGGGTCACACGGAGAAACTGAGGCCCAGGAGAGGCAGTGGCCTGGCCCTGGGGTGCAGCCGGAAGCTGTTGGCGGACTCTGGCTCCTGCACCCAGAGCCTGGAAAAGACAAAGTCCGCCAGGCCGCTCCTCGCTGGCACCAGGCCCTTCCTCGTGGCTCCCAGCCACCTCCCTTCACAGTGGCCTTGACCAGAGACCTGAGGAGCTATGGGTTTTATGAGAGGGTCGGTGCGGGGCATGAGGCCACATCCTCTGGGGCAAGGCTCTGGGGCAAGTGCAAAGGTGATGGGCTCTTGGGGGCACACCGGTGTCGATCTGTTCACCACCCCGATGGTGGGCAGAGGTCAGGAGCAGCCCTCCTGTGCGCACTTTCTGTGTAGTCCCCGCCTGGGTTTGGCTTTTGTGCAGCTAGGATGGGTCCCAGGGCCTCGCACAGAGCTCCAGCCCAGCCCCCTCCCCCCCTTTTTTTTTTTTAATTTTGAGACAAGGACATTTGATTCAAATTTGGTGTAAGGCGCAGGGCCCATGGTTGTAACCCCAGGGACTTGGGAGGAGACTGAAGCAGAAGGGTCACAAGTTGGAGGCCAGTCCCCTGGGGACTTGATGAAATCCTGTCTCAAGATAAAATAAGAAAAAGATCGGTGGTGTAGTGTTCCAGCATGGGAATGAATGAAAAGAAGGAATGGAGAGAGGGAGGGAGGGAGAGAGAGACCGAGACAGAGAGAGAGACAGAGAGAGGAGAGAGGGAAGAGTGCTCTCCTCTGTGTATGAACCTAGTTCCTTTTTCTTGCTGAATAATATTCCTTTCTTTCTTTCTTTCTTTCTTTCTTTCTTTCTTTCTTTCTTTCTTTCTTTCTTTCTTCCCCCGGAACTGGGGATTGAACTCAAACCCTTGCGCTTGCCAGGGAAGTGCTTATTCCACTGAGCCTTCTCCCTGGCCCTGAATAATATTTCATCATAGGCTGGAGCAGGATTTGTTTGTGTGTTTTACGGACAGATGCTCGGCTGCTGCCGGCCTGCGGCATCAGGCTGTGTGCGGAGGTGCGCCCGCCTTCATCCTGGGCCTGCACACTCACTATCAGAGGCTGTGTAGCGACCAAGCCAAAACTCAGCATGCTATGTAGCCCTGGCTGGTTTTGAACTCCTGGTGATCCTCCTGCCTCAGCCTCCTGAGTGGTACAATTACAGGTATGCACTACCACACCCTGCTTAGGGATGGAGGCTTTGGGATAAGGCCTTTGGGGGTAAGCTGGGGCCCAGTTTTGGCTATATGAAGGTGAGAGCCCATGAGACCCCAATGTAGGGAGATCCCGGCATAATAGAACCCCAAGTGTGGAGCTGGGCAAGGTCAGGGCTGGAGATAGAATGGTGGGTGACACTGAAGTATGGTTGGAGCGATGCAGCTGTGTAGGAAGGGACACATTCAGGGGGCAGCACTAGTGCTGGACGTGACCTGGGGAGGGGAGGATGCCCCAGCCACCTCCTCTCTGGTTAGTGACGAGGGCAGTGTTCAGCGTGGCCCAGAATGTGCAAATACAACTGTGCATGCCAAGCGGCAGGGAGAAGAGGCCACTCGAGACTTGAAGCCCTTGCTGTTTACTGTGTACAGGGCCTCACGATCCTCCTGCCTCAGCCTCTGTGAGCGCTGGACCAACAGGGGTGCACCTCCACAGCTGCTTTGCTGTTTCCCTCCTGGTTCTCCATTCTCCCTGCAATGGAGATTTAATCAATTCACGGGAGCCCCTCCCCTGTGTCCTGCCCGGGCAGGGACAAAGGCCTTAGAGACAGGAGTTTCGAGGAGATAATCTCCCAATCAACTCATAAATGGAGACTTTGACCCGCCCTGCACCCCTTATCTCAAGACTGGGAAGCAGCATGCCGAGGTGCAGTGGCAGGACAGGGTGGTGGGGCACGGGGGCTGGGACCTGGGCAGGGTGGCCAGGGTTCTGCAGGCTCGGGGCCAAAGTTCTGCACAGAACTCCAGGGGTCCTCTTCTTCACAGTGGGTTTCCAGCCCCAACAGTGCTCCAGTCTATTAAATGCTTTTTTCCTCTTCATTCAATATACATTGATTAGCCAGGCATGATGGTGCACACCTGTTATCCCAGCACTTGGGAGGCTGAGACAGGAGGATCGCCCTGAGTTCAAGGCCAGCTTGCACTACACAGTGAGACCCCTGCCTCAAAAACAAAAATAGTATTGAGCACCTAGTGTGTACTTAGGTCTCATTCTGTAAGAAGCCAGATAGAAAATGTGCTAGATGGGCCGGGAGTGCGGCTCGGTGGAGATTAGCCGGGCAGATGCAAAGGTGAGTTCTAACCCCAGCAAAAAAGAAAAAAAGGGAAAAGAACATACTTTAGGGCTCTGCTCCTGTGGATGACAGTTTGGAGCTTAAAGCTGGTGTGTCATATATCTTTCGTGTTAGTTCAGGCTGGCCTGGAACTCATGGCAATCCTCCTGCCTCTGCTTCCTGAGTGCTGAGATTACAGGAGGGCGTCGCCAAGGCCAGCAGCACACGCTGTTTTAATGCTTGGTCAGAACATGCATATAGCCGGGTTTGCACCACTGCCTGGTCTCTGGGGGGCATTCAGCAGGGGCTGTACTAACGCTTAGTCCATGTCTGGTACGCAACAGGCGCTCTTAATGCACGTGCCCTGTCTGCATTAACACTTGGCCCACCGAGCACGCTGCGGACTCCAGCTTGTGTCCTGTCTGTCTATACCAGGTGCTGCGTTATTACTTGGTCTGCGTGTCCCACGCACAGCAGGTGTTAGAGTCACATCATAGCCTGGTGTAGAGTAGACAATCAATTCATGCTGCGCCCGGCCTGGTCTATACCAGATGCTGCATTATTAACTGCCGATCTGGACCTGGTCTAGAGATGGCAGGTTTATAAAGCAGGCGCTGCATTAATGCCTGTATATCCTAGGCGTTCACTAAGGCTTGTTTCAGGAATGGATCAGAGAAGGTTCGCTTGAAGCTAGGCGAGGTCTGGGTGCTAAACGCACCGTGCGCGCTGGGGCGGTCGGCCAGGCCAGGTGAGCGCGGTAGCCAGGAACAGCGCGACAGCCCAGTCCTCCACATTCCCACAATCCCGAGCGGCCACTCCCGGCTCGCGGAGGCGCGGCCCCTTCCCACGTCGGCGCAACCAAACGCGCGGCGGCCCCGCCTCGCCCGGCCCCACCCCTGCCCCTCCGCTCCCGCCCAGGTCCCGCCCCCGCGGCCCGCCCGCTAGTCCCACCCTCTCGGCGCGTGTGCCGGCCGCCGACCATCCCCATTGGCCGCGCCGCCTGTCCGTCGCAGCGCGTCACACCGCTAGGTTGTCCGGCGCCGTCGCTCGTTCGCGGCGGCTGCGGTTGGCGGCGGGCGCGGCGCAGCGCGGGCGGCGGAGGGGTTCCCAGCGGCGCTGCCGGAGTGGGCACCGGCGGCCGCCGAAAGGCTGCCCGGGCCGAGGGCGGGGCCGGGAGCGGCCGAAGCGGCTCCGGCAGAGCGGGCCAAGCCAGGCCAGGCGGGGTGGGGGGCGGCCGGCAGCGGCCGGGGCCGGAACGATGACTCTGGAGTCCATGATGGCGTGTTGCCTGAGCGACGAGGTGAAGGAGTCCAAGCGCATCAACGCGGAGATCGAGAAGCAGCTGCGGCGAGACAAGCGCGACGCCCGGCGCGAGCTCAAGCTGCTGCTGCTCGGTGAGTGGGGCCCGGATCCCGCGGGGGTCAGCCCGGCCTCGATCCCTGAGGGTCAGTCCCTGTCTGTGATGGTCAGGGCGGCCCAGATCCCACGGCGGTCAGCTCTCCAGGCATCCCACATTCCTCCGTGGTTTGCTCTGTGTGTGGCCGGCCTCTGTCCTGTCCTAGATCGCTCCAGGGCAGACTTGCCTGTGCTGTCCAGGTTGGCTCTGAACTCTCCAGGTCTGGGCAGATCCCTCCGCAGCCGACTCTTGCGGTGCTGACCAGGACGGCTGCTCCCTTAGGGCCCAACCCGGAACCCTCTGTGGTCAGGACCGTGGTGTTGGTATCCCCTCTGGATCTCTCTGCCCAGCCCCTGCCGTGTTAAGCAGTTAGCTTTCTGTGGCCAGCCGTTGCTCGTGGGGTTCAGCTCAGGGCCTCTGGAGCCCTTTGTTGCATGTCCTGCCTGTGCTGACCAGGTTCGGCCCAGGGTGCTTTGAGGTCATCCCCTGCTTTGCCGTCCAGTCGAGTTCTTGCATCCTTCCAGGTCAGCGAGCTGCCCTGTTTGCATTGGCTCCCAGGACCCGTGGGGATCTGCCCTCGGCAACCCCCCACTCCATCCTCTGCACCTCCTCAGGAACCACACTTTCTCCCCATCACTTCCCAGATCCGGGATCTGCTCACCTGTTCACTGCATGCAGCAGCCTCCCCCCACCCTCTTGAGGGTCACTGCCCTTTGTCCCTTCCTTCTGCAGGCAAACTAAGTCCCTCCCGAGTGGAGAACCCTTTTCTTTCCCCCTGAGTTTACGTTTCCAGGCACAGGTTGTCAGAATGGCCTTCTGCCTGGCCACCAGAGCCCTGTCCACCAGTGGTCTGGTGGAGCCATGTGGCCTGCTCTGCTCCTCCCTCCCCAGAGATGCTTCACTGTGTGACTCTGTCTCTCTGAGGTTGACCTGTAGCCTGCGCCAGTGCCTCAGCTGTCAGAAGTGTTGTCACCCCAAATAAGGGCCAGGAAGGACTGTCCCCTGCTGTGGTTTACATGCAAAACAGAAGCCATGTGCTGCCCGCAGCCCCTACCCCTCTCTCCTACTCTGGGACCCTGAGATGAGTCCCTGCGCAGGGCTCTGAGGCAGACTTCCTGGGTGGGAGGGATGAAGGGCTGCCTGGTGGTGGGTGGGCCGGCTGGTGTTGGTGGCAGGCAGCCTCTGTCATTTGCTGCAGGTCTTCCATGGCTCCTGGGGCCTGGGTAGAGGTGCAGTGGACAAACTGCTCTCCTGGTTGTTTTTCTCAACTGTTTCGCTTCATCTAAAGGCTCCAAGACAGGCCATCTTTCCAAGAAAGACAGGTGGGTGGGAGGGGTGACCTTGCAGCTTAGGGGTTTGAGGTGGACCCAAGGTGTGGCTCTCTGGAGGGCAGGGTGGCCTCACTTGGCTTTGGCAGTGGGGGAAAGCTTTCTTTTGGGCCTGCAGGGTTAGAAACCAGTAGCACCCGAGGTTGGTGCCAGATGGCCTTGCCTGGTGGCTGTGTGGCCTCTGGGCGTATCCTCTTCTCTGTGTGCCCAGGCTGTGTGTGTCCGCAGCCCTTCCGAGTGGCTGGAGTACAGAGGCTGGAGCCAGTGTGGAAGCCATTTGATCTCTGGCACTGACTGCCCACCTGTGGCTGTGGGCACCTGTGGCTGCATCTGCAGCCCCCCTGCACCCCAGTCCTGTAAAGCTGGATCTCGCACCTCTTGAGAGGTTGAGGTCAAGTCATGGCAGGGCTAGGCAGATAGGACAGTAAGGGTGACATATGTGACCCACCAAGATAGAAGTGTGTGCTGTAAAGGCCACATGGGGTCCAGGGATGTGCTAGGGATAGGTGGGGAGGCTTCACTGAGGAGCTGATGTTGGCCTGGGCCATGAGGTGACAAGGGCCAAAGACACCTTTGGACCAGTGGAGCCTCAGAAAATTTCCCATGGGCATGGTCTCAGGTGGAAGGTTGAGGACCCTTGCGGGGAGCACTCTTGTGACCTGGCTGCAGAGTGGGGCTTGATGATTGAATGGGCTCTGTGCCTGCTGTGGGGACAGTCCCCATTTGGCTGCCCTGAGCAAGTGCTGTCCCTGTTTGGAGGGACACACTGGCCAGCAGGGCTGAAATGTGTGCTTTCCCCTGAACTGTCTCCACCCTGTCACTTAGCTGTGGGAGTCCCAACCCTCCTGTCTCCTGGGGCTTCCTTGCAAGGGGGTGACCGGATGTGCTCGCCTCTGACCTCTTAGGCCCTGCGGACGCTGCCTAACTGCATGCTTGTGAGCAGGTGGTTGGTTCTAGGAAGTTCTTTGTCCACCCACCGTCTCTGGCTGCATGCATGCGTGGGTCTGGTCATCTGGGCCGGAGGTTTGGGCTTTCCCCAGGGTGACTCTGTGGGGCATCCCTCACCTCCACTGGCTCGGGCCAGGGCCTCCCAGTTGTTATGGCTACAGCTGTCCCCTGGGGGCAGATCACCCAATTTGAGACTTGCTGTATGGTGACACTGGATGAGAAACTCTGCTGGGGAGCTGGGGCATAACCAGTGTGGATGCTGGGGGGAGAATGTTTTTCCTGGAGGGCCCCAAGCACTGTGTGTGTATGGGTGAATGTATAAATGTATCTTGGGGCTTCATTGGGACACTATTCCAGGCTCACCTTGTCTAACAGTCTTGCTGGTTATGGGCCATGGAGCTGCAGCTGGGGACCTGGGGTCCCCTGCAGCCTTGGGTGTCCCTGAAGGCTGTGGACACAGAGCGGCTGGCCCAGCATGGAGCACTTGGCCCTGGGGCCCCACAGCATGCAGGGCTGGGCACTGGGCCTTTGTCCCATGCTGTTACTCGGTACTGAGGCTGTGGTTCCCCTGCCCACAGGCAAGTTGCGCTTGGACAGTCGGAGACTTGCCTGGGAATGCCGGGTCCTGCAGGCCCTGTGCCGCTAGCAAGGCTGAGCGAGCAGTGCAGAGCTTTCTAAATAAAGCAGGGCGGTTCGCTCCGCCGGCTTCCTGTCCGCCCGCCGCCCACCGGCCACCCGGCAGCCAGAGGCTGGATCCGGCCCTGAGAGGCTGGGTGTGCCCTGGGCACAGAAGGGGCTTCGAGGTTGTTGCTGGTTCCTGGGAGGGCTCTTGCATGTCCCCACTCTGTCCCCACAGCTGGTGGGAGCAAAAGGGTCTTAAATGGCCACAGAGCCCCCTCCCCCATGTGGCCTTTGCTGCACATTGTGTTGTCCTCTGCTCTGGGCTGCTTTCTCTGATTCAGTTCTGAAAGCACTGAAGAGACCTGTTGTCAGCAGAGCTCTCAGACCACTTGTAGTCCCTGAGGCCGGGGACATCCTGCCCTCCCTGCAGAGCCTTGGGCCCAGTCCCTGAGCTGATTCGGGCAGAGACCACTGCTGCCTGGGAGGACCAGTCCTGTCCTGGAGTGCAGGTGACTGGGGTGCGGCCAACTGTGGGCCCTAAACTCTTGAGTGCACAGGTCACAGGTCCCTGAGGCCTTTTCCTGCCACACGCTGCAGTCACTCGGTGTGGAGGAAGTACCTGTGCTGGTGCTGATTTTCACCACAATGTCCTGTGCCTTGGGGACCAGGCCACCCAGAGGCACCGTGGTGGAGAGGAACCCTACTGCCAGGAGTGTGGCCTGTCTGTAGGCACCTGCCCCTGGCAAAGCCGGGGGCCCTTGTAGCTCTTGACCCCTCCCTGCAGCTAGGTGGGTGCCTGTCAGGGGCTCCCCCGGATCCTCAGCAGAGTCCTGGTTTCCGTCCCAGTTGAGTACCTCTTCATACAGGGTGCGTTGTGGTGGGCTGGGCCCTTGCCCATGGAGCTGTCCTTCCTGCCAGGAGGCATCTGCCTCCTCTGTAGTCTAGGACTGGATGTTGTCTGGGCCTGGCTGTGTCCCCCAATGCTGTCGGGGGACAGCCCTGAGTCTGTCCGGAACATCCAGCCCCTGTTGGCCCTCGGGCATTCTCAGACCTTAGGTTCAGATCTTTGCTGGTGGCTGAGTGATGGCAGATCTGTGCCTCAGTTTCCCCAAGGAGGAGTCCTGTGAGCTGGGGACTGATGTCGAGCCTCAGTGAACTCACAGGGACACTTGTTTGTTTTCCCATAATTTTATTGAGAAACAAATAGCAATGAGGGGGCTGGTGAGATGGCTCAGTGGTCTAAAGCACCTACTTAGAACAAGCTAAGCTAAAGAAAGCACAGGGACTGCGGTTCAATCCCCCAGCACCATATGCCAGCCAGCCCCGCCCCCTGGTGGGTGAACTGGCCACACACAAAATAAATAAATAATAAATAAATTTAAAAAATAAAAAAAAAACAAAAAACAAATAGCAATGAGACAGTTTCAAACCAAATTGGTAGGACAGTTTCAATAATGAACACATTACATACATTCTTCCTAGTGGTTATTTGCTGTACAAGATGCGGACATGATATCCTATTTACAAACTCTATTACAATAAATCATTCTGTTCATTAAGAGAATGTAACTATATATCTATCCTAACCATTTTGAATACACAGATACAAAATGGACATTCATCTGTATCCCCTTTTCTTTTTTGTTAAGTTCTGTTATTTGAGTATTATAGGTGTATTAACGGACACTTGTTAGCTCCCAGCACTTTGCACACTGGGGACACTGGAGCAGAGTCATTCTCTGGGTCTCGACCATCCCCAAACACTTGTGTGTTATGCTTGGTTCCTCCTGAGGGAGGGTGGCCTGGGGGAGACCTTTAGCTCTTCCTTGCAGAAGACTGTAGGACCTCCTCCACCCCCCCACCCCCCCTGTTGTGTCCTGACCAGGAAGACGCAGTGAGCTCGCCCTGCCTTGCACACTGCCTTGGTGTGCTGCACCCACTCGAGGCCCAGAGCTGTGAGGTGCCTGACCAGGACCGGAACTCTGTACTCCACAAGACCTGGCTCCATCAGCTGCTGGCCTGGATCCCACCCACGGTCGGCTCAGGGCTGAGCCGTGGTGGCTGGAGCCACCCACCAGGCCCTGGAGTCGATAGACCCCAGCCTGTGGGGATGGGGGTCACCATAAGGTGCGGAGTGAATGATGGCAGCCTGGTCAGTCCCTATTGGTGTCACCAGGGTGGCCAGTGGATGGTCACTGCGTGGGTTGCTGCTCCTGGCCCTGGCACATCTATAAGATCTGGCCTTCCGATGTTACTTGAGGCCTGGGGCTGGCAGAGAGACTTGTGTCCCCATGGGGTCTGTGTGGGGCAGGGAGACAGGTGGCCTGGTCTAATAGGAAGAGGTTGAATGCATTCTAGCCCTGCCCTTAATGGCCCTGTGACCTCAGGGAGCCCATGTAACAGCTTGTGCCTCAGTTTCCCCACCAGTCAAAAATGAAAGTGGCTGTGATAGTCACCTCCTGGGGTTCTGCCCCCTTCTGGGTTGGGCCCCCCACTGTAGCAGGAGCTGTGTGATCTCTGACCTTGTGCCTTTGGACAGTGTGAGGCTTCCTGTGCCATCTAGTGCCCCATGTCACCTTGTCACGGGGTGGTCAGCCCTCAGGTGCAGATTGGTCCCTGCTAGTGGTGACACCAAGTGCCCTGCAGGCCCACAGAGGGGCTTCTAGGGTCCATGTAGGAACACCTACCTGGGTGGCAGCATGTTGGGCTGGCGCCTGAGTTCACAGCCCCGGCCCCACGCTGTGGATGGGGCCCCCACTTCCGCCGTTCTCTGGGTAGGACCCTGGTGCTTCCTGCCTTAGATTTCTGTGGGGTGGGGGCTCCAGCAGTAGTGCTGGGGTCTCCTGTCCATGTGTCACTGCTCAGCCGGCCAGTATGGGTGTCCCGAGACTACTGTTAGATGATGGGGCAGCGTGCCCTCCTCAGGTCCTTGTTGCCCCCCTCCCTGCCCTGGCTACCACCACATCGCGCATTTCTGAGATTCTGTCGTTGCCTCACACGGTGTGCTGTCACAGAGCACTCCAGCTGGGGGTGGCTTGTAGGCTCGCAGGACACACACCTGTGCTTCTGTGGGAGGCAGAGTGAGGAGCTCAGCTCTATACTTGGTGGCCAGGGACCTCACCTGGTGCAGGTATTGGGGGGGCAGAGCAGCTCTGGTGCCACCCTGTGGGCAGTGACCCCCCGCTGGGGCGCCTCCTTCTGCCTGTAGCCCCTCATTCTGGTCCCTGGAGGAGGGTGGTGGCACACAGAGCTGGCCTTGCTTCCTGCGGGTGACTCTGGAGCCAGGCTGAGCTGGGCAGTGTGGGGCTAGCACACTCAGCCAGACTCCTGGGAGTGGGACCCGCCAGACATGAGGGGCCAGGCAGCACTGCAGGCTCTGGAGATGTCAGTGTGACACTGGAGGTTCCTGGGCCTATGTCCCACCTCCCGGGGTGACAAGGACTGTGTGGGTTCTGGCAGATGGGCAGCATGGATGGGAGGTGGGGCCAGGGCACCTGTGACAGCGAGCCTGTCACCCAGAGCTGCGTCTGGGCCTGATACCAGCTGTTTCCTGGTGGCCAGGTGCCCTACAGTGGCCAGAAGCACCAGCCAGCTGGACCTGGCTCCTTCTGGCCCTGCCTCCTGCTGCGGTCACTGCTGGCCTCTGTCACCATTGGCCCCAGGCACACAAGACACAGAGAGGCGCCAAGGCCCAGGCCAGCCCCACCTTCCTGGCCCATGAGAAGCCCTAGATCCAAGTGTCCGGGGCAGCTAGTCACCATGTCCCCAAGCACACACCTGCCCCACCCTCTCAGCATACCCAGGACTGTGCCTGTGTCCTGTGCACAGTGGCATGTCAGTGGCATGGTGCCGGTGGCATGGTGCGGGCAAGGGCTTGCAGAGTGCCTGAGTGTGCATACAGGCATGGGCGTATGCACCCCTTGTTGGCAGCTCAGACTTGGTGGTGAGCCACGTGAGGGCCTTGGGACGCTGTTGCAGTGGTGGCCGTCTGCTCTGTGAAATAAAACATACATGCAGGGCCGGGGAGATAGCTCAGTGGAATAAGCACTTGCCTGGCAAGTACAAGGTCCCGGTACTGCAAAAAAAAAAAAAAAAAAAAAAAGTTACATTTTGGGGCTGGGGAGATGGCTCAGTGGAATAAACGCTTTCCTGGCAAGTGAAGGGCCTGAGTTCAATCCTTGGTTCTGCCAAAATCAATCAATCAGTCAATCAAACATACGTTCAGGGCTGGCAAGATAGCTCAGCAGTCTAAAGCGCATGCTTAGGCAAGCACAGTGACTGCAGTTTGATCCCCGGCACCACATGCTGCATCAGCCCTGCCCCCAGGATGGGCTGAGCCAGCCACGATAAATAAACAAACAAACAAAATAAAAAAATAATAACAGTAATTTTTAAAAAATATACACACAGTACAGGGCAGTTCCACTCCGGCCCGGACAGGGGAAGCAGCCGTTCCAGCGTTCCAGGTGTCTTCAGTGTCCTTGGTGTGCCGAGCTGAGCTTTTCAAAGTCAGAGTCCCAGCCTTTGTGGCCTGAGGAGCCCATGTTTGGGCTGGTAGTGGCTGCGAGCCGGAGTTTGGTGCCTGAGCCCACACGCAGCCTGGCCCCGAGCAGTGCAGCCCTGCTCATCCCGGTGAGGCGCTGCCTCAGGCTGGCACGCAGCATCTTTTTTAAACAGTATCTTGTCCGTAGTGAGTGATCCCAACCCTGAGTAATGCTGGATGGTGTTGGGGACATCTGTGGCTGTCACACTGGGGGAGCTCCTGCTGAGGAGCAGGTGGAGGCCAGGGATGCTGCCCAGCATCCTGCAGTAGCCAGGAGGCCCATGGAGCATGGGGCTTGAGGCTGCCCCGGGAACCGACTAGTGTGGAGCCCAGCCGAGCGGGAGGGGCTGCCTCACGCCCCTGCCCCTCCCCTCGGTCTGGGCTGCCTGGAGTCTGCAGGTAAGGCAGGTGTGCTCAGGACAGAGGAAGTGGGCTGGCATCACCCTGTAGTGACAGCCTGAGCGCGTCATTCTGGACAGGCCCCTCAAAAACAGCGCTGGGGGAACCTCTGCTTTTCCCAGATGATTCTGGGCCCTGACAGCAGGGTGTGGCCCCGCTCAGGTGAACTCAGCTCTGTGTGGGTTGGGACTTGGGACACAGGCACAGCCTGGCTGGTCCTGAACTGGAGAGCTCTGCCCCGAAGAAGGCTTCTGGCCAGGGCGTGGGGGTGAGGGGTGCTACCACCAGGCCTCTCTCTGGGGACAGGATATATCAGGGCCTAGTGAGGCGCCCTTGTTGGTCACTAGGGAGTGGGAAGAGGGCCATCTGCAGTCACTGTCATGCTGGGCTTCCTGTAGGAGCCACTTGGCAGGGGCCTGCACAATGGCCTACACTGGGCGCCTGCTGGCAGGGTTTTAGGACCCAAGACAGGTGCAGGCTCAGGTGAGCAGGACTTAGGCAGATGCAGGGACAGAAGGAGCAAAGGTTGGCTCTGGGAAGTGCAGTGGGACAAATGACATGAGAGCCCAAGTCCCCAAGGGGCCCGTGCTGCTGCTCCCCGGATGTGGCAGGTGCCCGGCCCCAGAAAGGGACTACCTGGGCTGACGAGAGCCACCCTTGCTGCTACCCTGCTGTGGGGCTCAGCAGTGCGGGACACTTGCTGTTGTTCATTCCTTGTACTGGGGGCTTTGGATGGTGCACTTCTGTCACCCCAGCACTCTGGGAGGCTGAGGCAGGGAGATCACAAGTTCGAGCCCAGCCTGGGCACCTTGGACAGGTAGTGAGACTCTGTCTCAAAATAAAAAATGGAGGGGCCGGGGAGATAGCTCAGTAGAATAAGTACAAAAATAAAAATAAATAAATAAAAAGTAAAAAATAGAAAGGGGGCTGGAGAGATGGCTCAGTGGTCTAAAGCACCTACTTAGAACAAGCTTAGCAAAAGCATCAGGGACCGCGGTTCAATCCCCCAGCACCACATGCCAGCCAGCCCTGCCCCCTGGTGGGCTGAGCTGGTCTCTCTCTCTCTCTCTCTCTCTCTCTCTCTCTCTCTCTCTCTCTCTCTCAAATAAATAAATAAATAAATAAATAAATAAATAAATAATTAAAAAAAAATAGAAAGGGCTGGGAATGGAGCTCAGTGTGAGGCCCTGAGTTTTCTCTGCAGTATGTATTGGGACAGTGAGGGGAGAGACAGGCAGTACTCATGAGGATTGGTATGCAGCTGAAGACACCTATAGTTGTCACCCTGGCAGTGTGGGTGACAGAAGATAGGGATAGGTTGGGAAGTGAGAGGATGAGGCTCAGGACTGCGTTGGGGCAGAGGTGGTGTCCCCTGCTTGTATGCCGAGTCTGGGGCCAACTGGAGAGGTCCAGGGATAGGGCCGGGGACCAGGTCATCCCCACAGTGGGCAGGTAGTATGCAGCAGCCCAGAGGACCTGGGGCATGGGAGTCACAGGGCTGTGGCTTCAGTGCAGAGGACACAGGCATGGGGGCCACTCCTAGGACTGGTGGACTCCAGGGTGACTGGGCAGGAAGGCAACCCAGCCGTGTGTGTGGGGACAGACAAGAGGCTGTGAGGGTGACTTCCAGGAAAACCCCTGGGAGTGTCACTGAGCTGTGTTCACAGCAGATGGCCTGCTGGGCTGGCTCATGAGTTCCAGGCTCAAAACAGGGTTCTTGGGACCCAGCCTGTGACCGCGCACAGCCTGATTTGCCCCTGGGCTGGAGGGTGGAGGTTGACAGGCCACTGGGGTCCGTGGCGGGGGTGAGCTGTGGGGTGCCCGCACTGACCTCCACCCCGCCCCGTAGGCACGGGAGAAAGTGGCAAGAGCACGTTCATCAAGCAGATGCGCATCATCCATGGTGCCGGCTACTCGGAGGAGGACAAGCGTGGCTTCACCAAGCTGGTCTACCAGAACATCTTCACCGCCATGCAGGCCATGATTCGTGCCATGGATACGCTCAAGATCCTCTACAAGGATGAGCAGAACGAGGTGAGCTCCAGGGTCCCTGGGGACCATGTGACCCTGCGGGCCTGTGCTGCCCTCCTCTATGTGTAAAGGTGGGTTTGAGGAATATCTCACGTGCCACAGTTCACCTGTGCGCCAGCTCCCTGGTGGTATGGTTTTGTTTGGTTTTGGCTGTTATTTTTGCAGTGCTAGAGATGGCGCCTCGGCCCCTCATACTGAGCTGCATTCCCAACCTGCCAAAATCAGTTATCCAGACTGGGTTTGAACTTGAGATCTTCCAGCCTCAGCCTCCCAGTGTTGGGATTACAGGCTTTTCAGTGATTTTTAATACATTCAGAGAATTGTGTAGCCATCACTGCTGTCTAGTTCCAGAACATTCCATCATCCTAATAGGGAGCCCCATCCGTCCCCATGAGCAATTACCCATCCCTTCCTCAGCCCCACACCTCCAAGTCTACTTCCTGTCTCTGGCTGGAGTCCCCCTGTCCTGGGCATTTCCTGGCCACAGAGCCCACACTGTGAGTCCTCTGTGTCTAGCATCTCACTGAGCATTATGTCCTCAATGTCTGTCTATACTGACGAGTGTCACGGCCTTGTTCCTGTCCTGGCTGAGTGACATTGCACACTCCCATTCACCAGTTGAAGGGCACAGACCGCTTCTCCCTCTGGCTGCCAGAGGCAGGCTGCTGTGAGCATGGCGGTAAACGGGAGTAGACGTGTGCTTCATGTCCCTCTGGATGGAGAGCCAGTAGTGGGAGTTGGCAGAGCTTTGGAAGGAGCCACCAGGCAGTCAACCCCTGGCTGCGGCTCCGTGTCCCCTGCCTGTGAGCTGGGCTCTCAGTGGCACTTCTGCTAACCCCAGCCCTTCCAGACAGGGCAGCTGGCTGGCTTCTGTAGCTCTGCCTTCAGGGGCCTATGATTCAGCTCTGGAAACCTGCCTGGGGCCGATGTTTGGTATGGGAGTCTGTCTTTGTCCAAATGTGGTTCAAATTACTTCATTCCGTTCGAGCCGAAGGCCAATCAGGCAAGATTTCTGATGTGTCTGTGATTCGAATCTTCCTCCTCATGCCCCAGTTTCAGGTCACTGTGGACCCACAGAGCCACAGAGCTGCAGTGTTCAGTCGGGGGCCAGCTGTCCCCAGGGTGGGTCTGCAGGGTTCTCTTGCCCCCTGCATCTTGGGCCGCCCCTGCCCTCTCTGCAGTATCCTTGCTGTATCTATCCAAGAAGCCAGGTCACATCTGGTCCAGGCTCTCTGTCCCTATCAGACACCATCAGGTGGAGGCGTGTTTGTGAGCATTCTGTTTTGTTTTGTTCTTATTGTACTGTGGCCTAAACTCAGGGTCTTCTCACTGAGTTATATCCCCAGCTCCCCCCCTTTTTGAGACAGGATCTTCCTAAGTCACTAAGTTGCCCAGAGTGGGCAGACTCTTGGGTCCTTGGCCTCCACCTGCAGGTGCTGGGTGGACAGATACAGGCCACAGCCTGTCATGAATAAAGGTCATTGACACCACACTGGTTACATCCTGGGTAGGCTGCTCTGCTCCACCTGAGAGCTGGGTCTCAGGGAGGGCATGTGGCTGGGAACAAGGCTGACATTGATGTTTGGCCTCTTTTCAGAAAAGGTAGCTAATCCCACCCCAGTGGTGCAGGGGTGGTGGCATCTTCCAGAGATGGTGCCTGGTGGCCTGGTGCCCTGATGCCTGGTGACCCATCCCTGGCTGCCTGAGGGCAGCTGACAGTGGAGTTGCAGGGAAGGAGCCAGCCCTTGCTCCCCTTTTGGGTTCTGTCTGGGTGTCTGTCACACACACACACACACACACGCACACACACACACACACACACACACACACACACCGTGGCCCTGCCTTGGGGCAACCTCAGTGTTTCCTCGATGTCACCTGCGCTGGACAGCTTGTGTATGTGAATGTGCGGGCATGTACCTGTCCCTGGCCATCTCCCTTTGTTGACGGGGCCCCGGGCCTGGTCGTGAAGCTGCCTTGCAAGGAGGGGGCCTGGTCCCTGCTGTGATACGCAGGCGCCGCAGCTGCGTGGCGTCCAGTAAATGCTTGTTTGCCAGAGGAGGCGCCCTGGGCAGAAGACAAGCCCTGGAGTCTGGTAACCCAGAGCCAGCTTGCGTGCTGTGTGACTCAGTCTGGCCACTCATGGACTGGGGCCCTGGTGCTGGCAACCACTGCCCACTCTGTGCTCCCCTGTCCCACTGTGTTCGGCGGACTCCTTCCTGTCCTCCCCACTTCTGGGCACGTCTCCCAGTCCTTCCTGCATTCCCAGTGAAGCCTAGCATGGCGACTTGCTGGACTCCTCTCCCCCGCAGGCCAATGCGCTGCTCATCCGTGAGGTGGATGTGGAGAAGGTGACCACATTTGAGCACCAGTACGTCAGCGCCATCAAGACACTGTGGAATGACCCAGGCATCCAGGAGTGCTATGACCGGCGGCGCGAGTACCAGCTCTCAGACTCCGCCAAGTAGTGAGTGGGCGGCCCGTCCCTGCAGGCCCCCACAGCCCACCACTGACCCCGGGCTCTGAGCGGCTACCGCCTCCCTCCCACTTTGACTGAGGAGCGAATGGGGGTGGCCACACCCAGCCCGGCTGCCTTCCTCGGCCTGTCTGCTCCCTGCTCCCGGGGAGTGAGGGCTCCCGCTCCCCCAGCCTAGGGCGGGAGGTGCCCGACACCACAGTGACTTCACCTGCTGTCTTGCAGCTACCTGACGGATGTGGACCGCATTGCCACCTCAGGCTACCTGCCCACACAGCAGGACGTGCTCCGGGTCCGAGTGCCCACCACGGGCATCATCGAGTACCCCTTCGACCTGGAGAACATCATCTTCAGGTGCCTGGAGCGGGCAGAGCAGGGGCCCCGCAGGCCGCCCACACCCATACTGTGCTCCAGCTGCTGTGCTCGAGCTTGGGCACCCAGGCTTACTCCTGCTGGTCCCAGGTCAGGTGTTGTGGTCAGGGGGGCTGGACTGGCTTGTGCCTTGTCCACCCTGGCACCCATCATGGCTCAGTCCTCGGGGTGCTTGACGTATAGAACCTCAGCTCATCTCTCTTCTGTTGTCACATTCACATGCATGCTTCCTGTGTCCCTGTCGGCACCCAGATCTCCCCTCTGAGGACCCCAGGCCTGGGAGGGCCTCGCTGCCTCCCCTTGCCACGGCCCCTGGTCCTCAGAGTGGCTTATCATCACCCTCCTGTCCCTCAGTGTCCCAGGCCCATCCTATTCCTCTGAGTGTCTCCTCATACAGGAAGCAGTCCACATCCCTGAGGATCACCCTATGTTCCCCATGTCGCCTTGGGAGTCTCCCTTCTGCTGGCTCGGTCCTGTTCAGAGCCACTTGCTGGTTCTGCCCCTCAGGCTTTCTTGTCCAGCACTGAGATGGCCACCTGTGCCCTCTCAGTCAACTGCAGCTCGCCTGGGCCTACTAGCGGCGTCAGAGCCAGCATCCCACCATGTAGCTGACCCCGTGTGTCAGCACGCAGTGACAGAGGCCTGTGCTCGGCACCCATTCTGTCCTCAGGTCCCCTCAGGCTCCGGGGCTTCAGCTGTTCCAACCCACTGTCTGGGTGGTGACGGGGCGGGAGACAGTTGGGTCAGTCTCTGCCTGTGGTTCCGAGGGGTCTGCCCTGCACACCGAGGCCATTGGAGAAAACTGCATCTGGCCCAAGTGCGGGACTTAAAGGACAGCAGTGTTGCAGCAGCAGCGTAGCAGCCAGCATTGCAGGTCTCCTGGCGACGCTGTAGGGCTAGGGTAGGACGTGGGCATGTGCTCCAGGCCATGGGATTACTGTCCTGGGTGACCCAGGCCCAGCGGGGGGTGCTCATGTGGCTCCAGCGTGGCAGCTCCTGGCACCGTGTGGCAGAGTCTGACACTGAGCTCCTTCCAGGATGGTGGACGTGGGTGGGCAGAGGTCTGAGCGCCGGAAGTGGATACACTGCTTTGAGAATGTGACTTCCATCATGTTCCTGGTGGCCCTCAGCGAGTATGACCAGGTCCTGGTAGAGTCGGATAATGAGGTACTGGCTGGCTGGCTGGGTGTGGGGCGGGCCGGGTCGACGGCCCTCTTGCTTGTCGCCAATGTCAAGCCTCCCGCAGAACCGCATGGAAGAGAGCAAGGCGCTGTTCCGGACCATCATCACCTACCCCTGGTTCCAGAACTCCTCCGTCATCCTCTTCCTCAACAAGAAGGACCTTCTGGAGGACAAGATCCTCTGCTCACACCTGGTGGACTACTTCCCGGAGTTCGATGGTGAGCCGGCCGCAGCTGCAGCCCTGTGGGCCCGCGTGGCGGGGTCCCGTGGTGCTCAGGGTCAGGGTAGGGTGGGAAGGGAAGGGCTTTGCTGAGGCCGGAAGGCCTGAGGGAGCAAGGGGCGGGGTGGCCCCTGAGCCGGTGGGGGCGGGGCTTCCCGCCAGGCTGCAGCCGGGTTCGGGGGCGCCCCCCACCCCACAGAGATGAGGTGCGGTCACGAGCCGGTGTGCTCCCCCCGCCAGGCCCGCAGCGGGACGCCCAGGCTGCTCGTGAGTTCATCCTGAAGATGTTCGTGGACCTGAACCCAGACAGTGACAAAATTATCTACTCCCACTTCACGTGCGCTACCGACACCGAGAACATCCGCTTTGTCTTTGCAGCTGTCAAGGACACCATCCTGCAGCTGAACCTGAAGGAATACAATCTAGTGTGACCAGGCCCCGCCTCTCCACCACGCCACCTGGGTGGCGGCCACCTAAACTTGTGGCTCGAATTTTTTTTTTTCTACAAAAATGAGAAAAACGAAATGACACAGCTGAGATGCCAGTGTGCCCGTGCCTGGGACACCGCCCTGGTCCCTGTCGCTGCACCTGTGTTGGGATGCGTGCAGGCCTGGGGCTGGACTGCCTCATCCTCCTGTTAAGTTATTGTGCCGGTGGCCTGTGGCCCCCTCTGGACTCCGAGATGTGGGGGTGGCGGCAATGGACTGCCCACCCTGGGAAGTGCCTAATTTTTTTTTTCTTTTTTGAAGAAGAGTAAAACAAATTCACCTGGCTTCGTGGGTCTCAGAGACCCCTGGCCCATGACGGTGCCCGAGCTGCTGTTCCTCATTTGTCCCTCTGGGGGGCTCCCCTCAAGCCCCGGAACCTGAGTCCCCATCAGGCCAGCCCAGCCCAGTAGGATGGCTCCAGTGACCTTTAGGGACAGTGGGCGCCAAGGGACTGCCCCATGTGGTTCTGGGACTCTCAGACAGCAGCATTTTGCTCCTTTTTTTTATCAAAAAAAATTTTTTTTAATTTTCTGGGTGTGACCAGTGTGGTACCCGTGAGGGTAGGGTGGGGACGTTTTCAGGTTATTCTCAGGTCTGTCCCCAAGAGGCAGAGAGAGATGGGGTGCGCACACGGCTCCCCGAGCACGTGTCCCTGCCGAGCCACGCCGTGGAGCTGGGAGCCAGCACTCGCACTTTGGCCCAGGAACACGCTGGTGAGGGGCCCAGGGAGCTGGCCGCGCTGCGCACCGAGCCCCAGGCGGGGGCCAGGTGCCTGGGGCCTGCCGTCCACTGAACACTACATACACTACATAGCTTTTATTTTAGCGTGTTTTTTTTTTTTTCTTCCACACTTGTACCAGTCAGGAACAGATTGCCAACGATGCCTCTGACCGGCATCTCCGTGGCCGCCCTGCCCCTGCCCCTCAGGGCCTGGAGGGGAAGAGCAGGGGCGCTGGGAGGCTTTAGAAGGCAGGCAGCCTCTGCTCCTGGTGACCAGCCCTGAGGGCCACTTCCTCCCACAGGGGCTCCTGTGTCCTGTAAGGGCCCTTCCTGCTGTGCACCCGCTGGGGGTCCGTGCCATAAAGCTCCTCACGGGGGCTTGAGCGGGCGTGCGGAAGCTTTGTCCACACAGCCCAGCATCTCGCCATCACAAAGAAGGGAACGGGAATTGGGCCTGCACCAGCAATGTTAGCCCTTTGTGGTGCCAACCTGGTGGCGAGGCCCGGTGTGCCAAGCACCTGGGAGTGTGTGCGGTCCCAGGAGAGCCAAGAAGGCAGTTTTTGGAGCAGTGCCAACCCTGGTCGCACTGCCCGGGCCACACCTGGCCCCAGGTTGGCAGTCCAACCACAGGGAGCCCATGTTCTGGGTCCCTCCCCAGATGTCCCCGTGCCAACGCCGGTACCCAAGGCCAGCTGGCCAGCCCGGAAATGTGCCCTGGTCGCACTTGTATATTACACAGTCTTTATTTCAGATAACCTAAACCTTAACCTATTTAAGAAAGAATGTTCTCTAAGATGCTGTTTTTAAACCTCTCATTTGAGACGCATGTGCCGAGTGGCAGGGGACAGGGAGGTGTTGGAGTATGGTGGCTTCAGCCCCAGCCCTGGAGGACCCGGGCTGCACAGCAGGCTGGGTCCCAGCCCCTAAATCCACAGGTCCCTGAGAGAAATAGACTTTTCATATCTTTCTCCTGAAATGAATTGTTTTAAATTGGAATAAATTTTGTTCCTAAATGTGCTGCCTCTCAGGTTTATGTCCTGATGCCAGGGAGGGGAGCGGTAGAAGCCAGGCCTGTCATCCAGTGGGTCCTCTGGTGTTGACAAGGCCCTGACTTCAAGGTCATTCTCTGTGCGGCCATCCTGGAACTGATGGCCCTAGAAACTGTCCCCAGGAGACCCTGCTTCCTGTCCCCAGCCCAGTACCACTTTCCTGTCTCTGGGTCTGATGATGCCAGGGCTGCCTTGGGAGCAGGCCCCTGGGGTGCGCATGCTGGGTCTGGCTCCATGTTCTGAGCAGCACAGCCTCGAGTTTTATCCACAGTGAAGCTGGGTCAAAATCTGCTTCCTTTTTGTGGCTGAGTAATAATTCCAGTGTGAATGGACCAGGCTGTGTGTATGCACTCACCCATCAGTACACACTTGCCTGTGGTGTTCCCTTTCTCGGCTGCCCGGAGCCACGTGAATCTGTGCAAGTCATCCTGCAGAGCCTGGGTTTAGTGCTTTGGGCCCACACCCAGCAGTGGGATTGACAGATCACTTGTGTGTGCCATTGGAAGGACCCGCTCTGACCTTGTGTATGTGGTGTGATCGAGAAAGATGGTGAATGTGCGAATTAAGATTGACAGTAAAGGCCGCACTGCTGTAAGTCCCCCAGCCCACCCCCTCCCAGCACGCTTAGCCCACCCTTGCTGATTTCCGCAGCAGCTCTGAGCATCTCTAGTTGCACTTTCCTGGCTCCCTCAGTCCTGAATGGATCCAAAACATTCACCTTTCATGGCCATTTTACTCTGGGCAAGAGCCAGGAGACACCGGTGCCAGATCTGGTGACTAAGGTGGACGACACCGGCGTGTTTTTCAAGCCTGCCTTTCTTTTGGGTGGTGCTAGGCTGCAGCATTCGCCAGAGTTCACTTCACACCTTGGAGACTCAGGAAAGAGGACTCCAGAGCTACAGCAGAAATGGCCAGGGAAGTGGCAGTGGTGTGTCTGAGACAGGGAGGGATTGGGGGAGCGTTCATGCTGATGTTTCTTTTCCTATGGTACATTTGTGTGTGTGTGTGTGTGTGCGCGCGCGCGCGGCTGGGTCAGCCAAGCCTGGGGGCAGGGCTGGGAATCAGACCGCAGTCCTTAGGCGCTTGCCTAGGCTTGCTTAAGCAGGTGCTTCAGACCGCTGAGCTAGCTCGCCATCTCTAAGATGTTCAGTACTTGCCATATATCATGATCACGCCTTGTGATCATCATCTGGCCAGAGACACCTTGAGAGCCCACTGTGTCCCGGCTGCTGCAGACCTGGGCATGGAGCACAGACACCACCCCGGCCTCCCTAGAGAAAAGTAGAGCCTGGGGGCTGTGCAGGATGGGGCGCTGGGGGTGTTTCAAGACTGGCCCCGGGGAAGTGGCTGCTTCAACAAAGCAGTCAAGCTCAGGTTGCTGTGGTTCGATCCCCATAACTGAAGCCGGTCAAACCTGCCCTGAAGGCTTTCGGAGAAAGAAAAAAAAAAAAAAAAAAGACTGGCCTCAGGCTGGGGAGATGGCTCAGTAGAATAAGCGCTTACCTGGCAAGCACAAGGGCCTGAGTTCAATCCCCGGTTCCACCAAACAAACAAAAAAGACTGGCCTCTTGGAGATGGCCTTCGTGAGAGATGAGGAAGTAAAGAGATTCTGTACTTGAGGGTCGGTGTCGCAGGCCGAGGGAGAGCACAGCCACATAAAGGCCCTGGGGTGTGGTGCAGTAAGCGCATTGCAGGTGCAGTGAGGAGCCTGGGGTCTGGAGCAGAGGGAGGGAGCGAGGGGGAGAGCAGGAGGAGAGGTGAGGCGGGCTGGCGGGCTGTGCGGGAGCCTGTGGGCGGCTCAGGGAGGTGCGAGCCCTTGGCGGCTTAGGGCAGAGAAGGGAGCGCCCGACTTGGCGCTCGCGGCGCCCCCTGGTGGCCTCTGCGGGGGATGAGCGTTGGAGCTGCAGACCAGAAAGCCACGCAGCGAACCAGGCAGCCGAAGCAGAGCGGAGGGGGTCAGACCGGGAAGCGAAGGGGAAAGCAGGGCGGAAATGGAGGCCGCAGGAGGTGTCCTGCCCTGTGATGCCCAGCAGATGTCGCCCAAGACAGCCGTTGGCCTGACAAATGGCCCAGAACCCGGACTCCAGCGCACACCCTTGGCGGGGAGGACAGGCCGTGGGCTGCTGGGAACACGGGCGTGAGCCTCTGTGTGGTACCTGCTCCCAGTTCTCTGGGCACGTATAATTTTTAGGGTTTGTGGATTCCATCGAAATCTAGAGAAAAAGCTGGAGACGTAGGAAAGAGCTGGGGATGAAGCTCAGTGGTAGAATGCTTCTCGGCCCTGAATTAAAAATAACAGAAGGGGCCGGGGAGATGGCTCAGTAGAGTAAGCGCTTGTCTGGTAAGCGCAAGGGCCTGAGTTGAATCCCCGGTTCTGCAAAACAAAACAACAACCACCAGAAAGAAAAGGAAAGGAAGGAAGTAAAGACAGAACATTACAGCCAGGACCTGCATGTAGTACATCCCTGTAGCCTCTTACTCTAGAGGCTGAAGCTGGAGGATTTCAAGTTACAGGCCAGCCTGGGCACTTAGTGAATTAGTGACTCAATTGCAAAATTTTATTTTATTTTTTTCTTTTTGCGGAACTGAGGATTGAATTCAGGTCCTTGTGCTTGCCAGGGAAGCACTTATTCTACTGAGTCATCTCCCCGGTCCTCAATTGCAAAATTTTAGAAGGTCCAGGGATATAGTTCAGTTGAAGGACCTGAAAGAGATAGTGATAAAAATTGATTTATGAGCCAGGTGTGATGGCACACACCTGTCATCCCAGTACTAGCAGGCCAGGGCATGAGGATTGCTCAGAGTTTGAGCCCAGCCTGGGTTACGAAGAAGAAATGGACAATTTACACAATTATAGTGTGAGTCCATCATTTCTCCCTCTGTGATATATAGGAGAAGCAAAATCACACACAGCTGGGTGGGGTAGCTCATCCCTATCATTCCAGTACTCTGGAGGCTGAGGCAGGATGATCTTTGTGGCCAGCCTGGGCTACATAACAAAACCCTGTCTCAAACACACACACACACACACCACCACCACCAACAACAACAACACCAACACCAACAACAGCAAAAGCAAGTCTCAAAGGAAATTAGAAAATACGTTAAACAGAAAAGAAATTTAAAAAAAATAACCTATTAAAAAACAACCTAGCAAGTACTAGATCCCTGGTCCCCTGTGCCAGCCCCACCTCCAGGATGTGCTGAGCTGGGGGAACAAGTCCAGGTGTGGTGGCACAAGCCTGTAATCCCAGCACTGGGGATGCTGAAGACAGGAGGATCACTTGAGTCCAACCTGAGTAGTGAGAC